AACAAGGAGGGCCGGCGTCGTATATCTCTCTCACACACACACACACATGCACACATGTGACACACACCACACACATGCACAAATGTGTACGTACACATGTGTGCACCACGAACACATGTGTTCTCCACCACTCCACCACCGACCCTACAACACTCAACTGCTCGCCCCCCCCGGTGCCCTGCAGGTGGTGGGCGACACCAGCCGCATTGTGCAGGTGCTGTACAACCTGGTGGGCAACGCCTGCAAGTTCACAGAGCGGGTGGGTGGGGGGCGAGTCGATTAAAGTTGAATTAAGTTACTTCAGCATGTATTCAACGCGCCTGGTCGGTGGCGCCGCCGCGTCCCGGCTTGCCTGGCTCGCCCCTCGTGTATTCACTGTCCCGTCTCCCGAGTGCTGCTCCTCATCCGCCTCCCTTCCCTGCTCCGTGCCTGGCCTCCCTTTCCTGTATGGAGCCGCCGCCTGCATGCGGCTCGCCATCGTCGCCGCCGCCGGCTCTCTCGCGGCGGCGCCGGCCAGCATGTCGCGCCTCCCTCCCCGCCTCTCCACCACGCACGCCCCTGCCCCTGCCCTCCCCTTCCCTCGCCCGCAGGGCAGCATCTGGGTGGATGCATCTGTGAGCGGCAACGGCGAGGTGGTGTCGGTGTCTGTGCACGACACCGGCATCGGCATCCCGCAGGACAGGCTGGAGGACATCTTCGCGCCCTTTGCGCAGGTGGGGTGCTGCATGGTACCACATGGTACCTGCGCGGTGTGGGGGGAGGGCGCCTGCCCCTGTCGACTCCCGCAACCCTGCCTGGCGCCTCCACCCACCGGCTGCCATGCTGCGCTCGCCTCACCTCTCACCGCACACACATACACATACACGCCCCACATGCATTTGACCAACCGCCAGCCTGCACCGCCCGTTGTACCGCCTATCGTACCGCAGGTGGACATGAGCACCACCAGGCGGTACGGCGGCACCGGCCTGGGCCTCAACCTAGTCAAGCAGCTGGTGGAGGCGCACGGCGGTGCCATCACCGTCGCCTCCCGCCAGGGCAAGGGCTCCGTGTTCACCTTCACGTTGCGGGTGGGTGGGCACGAGGGGCCCCGCCGCGTGGCGTGCGTGGGTGGCGTGCGTGGGGTGGGGAGTGAAGCGCCCGCTGCGCCACCCGAGCCCCTGGCACCCTGCCCTCTACCCCACCGCACACGCGCGCACACACCCACACACACACACACACACAGCTCCAGCTTCCCCTGCGGCCACTGCCTCCTCTGCTCTTGCAATGCCCGCACCGCGGCCGTCGCTGCCCAGCCAACGCAACAGCCCACCCCACCGCACACCCACCCCTGACCACTCTTGCCGCCTGCTGCCTGCAGGTCTGGCGGGACGGCCAGGCGAGCCCCAGCCCCATCACCGACTCTACGCGGCGCAGCATGGCGCTGGCGGCGCGGAAGACGACTGCCGAGGCGGCGGAGGATTTAGAAAGCGTGCGTTGTGCGGCGGCGTGGGTGGTGCTGTTGCTGTTGATGTTTGCGGTGGTGTGCTGTGCCACGCCTCGGCTCGCCGGGCAGGCCCTCGCGTGCCTAAGGCCGCGCCTGCCGCCGTCCTTGCTTGCCGCCAGCCTCCCAGGCCTAGCCTCCCCACCACC